GTATACAGAAGTGCATGAAGTATCAACGGCAAAAATCAAAATGTTCCAAGTTCAAGCCCACATTATCTTTTCTTTTTTTAAATTCATTCTATATGAGTTTAATTTTGCATAAAAATTCGTAATCTATGTATTGGACTTTAAGAAATGCACGATTTTAGGTGACACTTGTCGTACCTACTTGATGATATACGAAGAGATATTGTCAGCTCGGTGGTTCAGCTGTGGATAAAACAATGGAAACCGAGGTTCGATTGGAAACCTATTTTATGCTAACCGCATTAAGTTACTGTTCTCTGGTTACAATGAACTCTTGTTGATCCACTTATTGACACAAATAGTAAAGGACAGTGCTCCTAGTTACTCTATTCATCGTATTTTTATTTTAAGTACAAACAAGAGAGATAATACTCCGTTGTATGGTGTAGGAGAGTTCTCATGATTCATTATTGACCGCAATTTAAACTATCATACGTTCAAGGAAATGATGTCTCTAATCAGGATTATCTATTACACATTTTTTTTTGCTATTACATAGAGTGATAAACAAAACTGTACCAATATTCTTTAAGAGTGAATAACTTTTTTGAAATCGTACCAAACGACCTCAGTTTTTTATAGTAGTCAGGTGGATCAGTTTATTAAATAAAGTGGTAAAATTCATAATGGTAAATCAATTTTCGAAATTGAAAATGGTATAGCTTCTAAGAACATGCCATCAGTTTGCAAGGAAACTGAGATAGGACTGACGTTTACTTTAAATCGCGTACATCACGTTTTTGCCCCTTAAATATTGTATAAAGAAATTTCAAAAAAAATAGAGATCGATAGGAATTTTCAGGAAAAATTTAATATTCACGTCTTTTAACTTTTTTTATCTGGTCTTCTAATGATAATTTAATCTCATTTTCAAGATTTATACTTGCTAATATGCTGTTTCATTCAAATTATTTATCATTGTTATGTGCTACAATCAACTGTATAATTAATAGTTTAATTGTAATTAATGTATTTCAATCACGTAAAAATAATGAATATTGCAATTTTCACGACTTGTAGCTTAATATCCACATGTTCCGATGCATGTAACTTTTTTCAACACCAACAGATGATAAAATTTTCAGCGAAGTTACGAACTGGATTGGCAGATTTTTGTTCCGAGATGAAATTTCGCGGACAGCTGGTACACAATCAGAGGCAACGAGACAAATCCGTTGCAACGAGCAAATATTGAATAATTCAAGCGGAGTTTATCCTTGGCCGGTGTCTATGACGAGCGGGTTATGTCACGCGAAAATATATAGCCCCGGCCGGACATTACACACGCATACGCTATCATTGCGTAAGTACGATTGCTCATGTTTTATTGTCCGCTTCTCGAATCCACTTTTGAATAAAAGCTTATCTATCATACACGTCATGTCGTACGTGAGTCGAACTTTCACAACTATGAGTTGAATCCCGTATATAGAGTCAATCACAAAAGTCTTCATAGATCCCATAAAAATGGTAGTTTAATATTTATTTTGTCACAGTACAGCTGATACTTCCTCACTTACTAATAAGTGAATATAATATTAAACAAAGTTATTGGTTATCTTATTGAATATTGCAAATTTCCTTTTTATCGATAATAATATCATGAATGACTGTATCTTTAACTAGCACTGTTCGTCACGTCACGCCATCTGCGATTTGCGTCGACGACAGCTACTCGTCCTCAATTCACATTTTTAGAATCAAGTAATAAATATAGTGAACAGAGAAAATTTTTATAAGTGCGTATAACATTCTTTGGTGAATTAAAAAATTATAGGAATGTAATACTCTTCAATCTTATAGGTTGCAGAGAAAACGATGATACATAATTGCGTCATCATATGTTCGTTTGGAAGTCGAGTTCAGAAATATTTACTTATAATAGCAAATGTGTACACACATTAACCGTAATGTAGGATACTATTTGATCTCAACAAACCGGAAAATCGTAACGTAATCGATTGCAATGATTCAGGCGACCTTGACCAAGTTTGAAGGAAATAGGAAAAAAACTTGGTTAACAGGAATCTTTCCTATTCCCCGAGAATCAGCATTAGGCCGCAGATTTTTATGCAAAATTACATGTTCACAAGCATTTTAATTGCAGGAATTCTTCATTCTCTAAATTTAATGGTATGTGATCTAAATTAATTGCTTACGTTCATCGTGTGCATTGTTTCACATTCAAATCTTCTGTGGGTACATAAAATTCTAGTCATCGTCAAATCATTAAATTGATTGCAAAGTATATTAATTAATTTTTATTCAAAACCTGTTTGCTAACTCAATACGAATAAACAATGTAAAAATTATACAATTTAAAATCCTTTCTTAATGGTGATTCAGTAAAAAAAAATTTCCTCACCACGCAATCAATCTCAACAATTGCACAATGTACATTCGTATTTCCTTAATAATAATTCAACAAAAAAGAATTTTCCATCCTCCAGTTAAACGAAATATTATACAATTTAAAATATTCATGTTTTCTTAACACGTTGAATGCCACGCCAATTTTACAGGGATTGTCCATGGCGCCACGATGAATTTTCTATTATGCGATACATATAATGTTGAAATATTATCTGCAATAGATAAGTTACAGTGTATAACAATGTTTGACATGTTAATTGCGACGGGGTCACCGG